AGAATAGGAATTTTGGAAAGTTATGATATGGAAAATGTAGATAATTTAATTCTCTATCAATATAAAATATAAAAATATTTTATTAAATTAGAGCACCGGGAGGAAAGGTAGGTATTTTTTGTGAGTATATTAGAAGTTTTTGAGTATATCTAATTAGTTCACTGAATAGAGCTCAAAAAATAAACAAGGTTAGCATTTTAAACTTTTCAAATATTTATTAAAATAACTGTCCTAGAGCAGGTCAAAGTTTGCCAAGATGTGAATTATAGTTTTTAAGTTATAGAATAATTTACATAAACTACCTGTGCCTAGCTACCGGTGCTCGAATCAACCTGTCTCTTCGGGAGCACATATAAGACTTAAAACCATAGTTGGGGTTTAAATCGATTAAGAGTAAATGTTCTAGTTAAGAAATAATCAAATTTTTACTAAAGCAAAGGCATTGCGGAAACTTTTTTCCGGATCCAATAACAAGATAGATGTTTATTTTTATGGCATTTACAAAAAATATTAATATATTTTGAAATATTAAATATCATAATTTACACCACCTATTACGGCATGCTGTTATACCCCTGGTTATAACGGCAGTCTCATTAACCTCACATTACACGGGCATGATAGTGCTTTCTCGGGATTCGGATAAATTCTTACTTGTTAGAATTTTCCCAAATGAACCTTATGTTTGTCATAAATATCTATATTGTGATCTCTCAGACACGCAGGACAGTCAAACGAGTGTCGTTAACGGAGACTTGAGTCAGGACGGCGATAATAATCTCGGGTCACACGAGGCTTTAAATTCGGTATAAATTTTGGTTCATCGCATCATTTATTATTAAACTAAATATATTATAAACATAAATACCCTCATTATCCATACGAGTCTGTTTATAATATATGTCTGAATGGTGTGTCTACAGGCCATGTATGTCGGGTGGCTCGACGCGCCGGTTAACGACGGCTTAATTCACAATGACATTGGATTTACTAATAAGATAAACCGTTTGGAGAATTTATGGTTAATAGCGCCAAACGGGAGGGAAAATTTATCATCAAATTGGAACTCAAATAGATTCAACACCAACAACGGTGCCACAAATGATGCCAACAATGGCGTAGGTGCCGGACAGGGAGAAAATGTACCCCAATTATCACCAAACCGTTTCGCGACAGCAGACGCAACCCTGACCACTGAAGCTAACAGCGCGTTTTCCAACACATCGCTGACAATAGTATGAGACATACATTCAGATAAAATGTTTTATAATTTCAATAATTAAGTAAAATAATTTTATATTCTGTGGTCATTGAATCGCACCGATAGGCAATGGGAATGTTTCTGCGGGATAGGTTACAAGAATTTGAAGGGATACGGCCAAAACTTCAACGAAACGTGAGCTTCCAGTCCCACCAGAATATGGGCGCGGGTTGCCAGTCCTCACAACCCCAGACCCCACAGCCAACCCATTCCTCGTCAGTCCATCACCAGAACATTGGTGCTAACCATCACAATAGCCAACAAAACTCGCAACAAATTAACTCACAAAACAAATTGAGATTTGAAACATGTGCCTCATCGTTTTATAACAGAAATAGTATTAACTATAATAACACAAATAATAACAACTCAACGCCCAATGCGGTTCATTCGCCGTTTAAAGCTGTCGCCATCCGACCCACGGATCCCCAACCCTACGAGATGGCAGATCTCGAGGTGTTGGAACAGTTCGCCATGAATTTTAAACAAAGGCGCATCAAATTGGGTATGCATTCAATGTCTACCTTATCACAAAGTAAAATATTGTCTGTTAGTTTATAAATCGATAAAAATTCTTTTTTATTCAATTGAATGAGAATTCGGCCCAAACCGTACCCAAAACTGAACTAACATGCAAAACCCTTTCTGTGATTCCCTTCTCCTTTGAAAATACTTAGGCTTTACTCGTGGGGACGTAGCCTTAGCCATAAATAAACTTTACGGCAATGACATGAGTCAGTCCATGATATCCCGATTTGAGGTGTTGAACCTGTCCTTCAAAAACATGTGTAAATTGAAACCATTGCTCCAGAATTGGCTCGAGGACTCCGAAGCCTCCCTCAACAATTCCACAACATTGGCAAACAATCAACTGAGGCCGGAGTAAGTATTTAAAATATTCATAAATAAATATTTGGGGTTTGCAAAAATATTGATGTAATATTTAAGAACTAAAATGCTATTTACTCTGAAATCAAAAAAGATATTGTAATTATTTTTGAACTTCAACTATGCGGAGGTAGGTAATCTATATAGAAAAACTACAATTCGCAGAAAAGCAAATTGCACATCGTTGGAAAAAATAATCGAAACATTCTATTGGAATTTCCCTGGAAAATGTTTAAATAAGACAGAGTGGCACGGTAGTTTATTATTTTGAATAGAAAAAGATATGCAAAATAAATACACTGTTTTGAATGGATAATTAAAATTCTCTAAAAATGTAGATATAATTTGAATTTTATAACTTTAAGATATGTTGGGAAATAACGAATCTAGAGAAAATCAAATTTCAAGTATTTTACAGATTTACTATTAGCAATAAATGGCCGAATTTTAAAAATACTCTAGCACATTCATTTTTTGAAATATTTAAAAATTCAGTATTGAAATATTATTTAGAAGGAATTTCTCGATACGAAAAGTTGGCCATGCTAGTTAAATTTGTATGTGCATAAGCTTAATTATGTCATTAATAAATATGCATGGTCAAAAAATGCGAATCCGGCCGATAAGTTGGTCATATTAAGGTCAGTAAGTTGGCTGACATGGTCATTTTTGATTAGCACTTTATATGTCTACATTATAAGTAAACATTTACCGGAAAAGTTTGCCACACATTGAGTACGCACTATACGGTTGAGAGCCGTATAAACTTTTAGTACATACCGTCTATTCAAATAACGTTAATTCATACAAAAATGACCATGTCAGCCAACTTACTGACCATAATATGACCAACTTATCGGCCGGACTCGCACTTTTTGACCATGCATATTTATTAATGACATAATTAAGTTTATGCACATATAAATTAAACTAGCATGGCCAACTTTCCGTATCGAGAAATTCCTTCTTAGATTCAAAGCAGTTTTCGTTGGATTAATCACTATGGATTTAAAAGAATTTTTTTAAATCTTACTTACCGGTGCTCCCTATATCTTATTCTGACAATTACGAAGGAAATCCTAATAGACGGTTTTGATTATTTTTTTATGCTCTTTCCAACGATATGCTATTTGCCTTTCTGAGACTTATAGTTTTTGATTACCTACCTGTGCCAACATACCGGTGGTCCAAAAGAGTTGTCTCTTCGGGTGAATACATAATAGCAAAAACCACAGTTGAGGTTCAAAAATAATTCCAATATCTCTGTCCGTTGCTGAATAACATCTCACCAATCAACACTTTTTCAAATACCTCATAAATTTGTATTTTGTTGTATGCAATATGTATTGGATCCGGCAAAAAGTAATCGCAATGCCCTTGCATTAGTAAAAATTTGATTATTTCTTAACTAGAACATTTTCTATTAATCCATATAAACCCCAACTATGATTTTAAGTCTTACATGTGCTCCCGAAGAGACAGGTTGATTCGAGCACCGGTAGCTCGGCAAAGGTAGTTTATTTAAAATATTCTATATCTTACAAACTACAATTCACATCTTGGAAAACGTTAGCTCATTTGAAAGAGCATAAAAAAGTAGGAGATACATTAAAAATTTTTATCCACATATCCATATTCATTGGCCAGGGAGGCCCGGTTTGTCTTAAAATTTGAATTTTGAGCATTTTTAGCATCAACAAGAATAAGAATTTTGGAAAGTTATGATATGGAAAATGTAGATAATTTAATTCTCTATCAATATAAAATATAAAACTATTTTATTAAATCAGAGCACCGGGAGGAATGGCCATTGAATATTGCCATTGAATATTGCCATTGAAAATGCAAACAACAAAATAGTAATACTAAAACCATTTCAATGTCAATATTTAATGTAAAAATGCAAACTTTGACCTGCTTTATTACAGTTATTTTAATAGATATTTGAAAAGTTTAAAATGCTAGCCTTGTTCATTTTTTGAGCTCTACTCAGTGAACTAATTAGATATAATCAAAAACTTCTAGTATAGTCACAATAATATATCTACCTTTCCTCCCGGTGCTCTGATTGAATAAAATATTTTTATATTTTATATTGATAGAGAATTAAATTATTTACATTTTCCATATCATAATTTTTTTAAATTCCTATTCTTAAAGATGCTATAAATTGTTAAAAGTATAATTTTTAGACATACCGGGCCTCCCAGGCCAATAATTATTGAGTTTTGGATAAAATAATTTTTGATGTATCTCCTACTATTTTATGCTCTTTCAAATGAGCTATCATTTGCCAAGATGTGAATTGTAGTTTTAAGTTATAGAATATATTACATAAACTACCGGTGCTCAAATCAAGCTGTCTCTTCGGGAGCACATGTAAAGCTTAAACCATAGTTGGGGTTTAAATCGATTAAAATTAATTGATCTAGTTAAGAAATAATTTAAATTTTACTAAAACAAAGGCATTGCGATTTCTTTTTTCCGGATCTGATACATAATATGTAATACGTAATATTATTATATAGCATGGGGTTTAATTAATATCACTTTAAATAAAATTTGGTAGTTTAAATAAACATAAGACTGATAGAATTCTCAACACATTTAAAATTAGATTGGAAGCTATAATGAACTCAATGACGGAAACGGAATGTGATAAAATACAAGGTTGTAAAATAATTTTGGATAAATTAATCGAATGCGCTATCGCTAAGGATTTTCTCAAAAATAAGTGTGAAATAAACAAGTTGTTAATGAGATTTAAATTGAATGGACCACATTTATTGTACGATTACTTATCTACAAAGTTAAAAATGTATGTAGATTACAAAGGTTTAATCAAAGAAGATCAGGGCTATTTCGCGAAAACATTTGATATACAATCTAAAATTGGATCAGGTGGTTTTGCTGACGTTTTTAAAGTGAACTTTAAAAATACCACGGATGTTTTCGCTGTTAAAAAGATCAATACTAAAGGTAATTCAACCTAGTATCATATAAATTCAAACAATTATACCATCATTTTCAATCAAATTCAGTATTAAAATTACTATATGTTAGAATTGAGCTAGATCAAAACAAAATTTTTTGCAACTATGGTTTTTTTGCACCAACACATCCATATGATGATTTTTGTACAATTCTCAAAGG